CGCTCCACAATCCCTCCAGCTCCGATGTTCCCTGGAGTTAAGATTTCAAAAAGCTGGTATGAGCAAACTGTGGAAGAAGAAGATGATGCAGTGATACAAAAATCTAGACTTACCGAAGAAAACACTATGGATGAACAGTCCACGGAGGTGGAAGACCATGATGCGGAGAAGATATTGGATGATGAGGATTGGGCGGAGGAAGACGGAAGCTTTGATGAGGAAGAGCTGATGGAGGAGGATGATTTACTGTTGGAGGAGGAAGAAGAGGCCAAGACTTCAGGTTTCTCGGAGGAGAAGGCACAAGCGAAGCGTGAAACCCCTGGATGGTGCAAAGGGAGCCCATAGACCGAGATTCCAGTGGCTGGAATTGATTCGAAATCAAAGACGCAGGTGAAGACTTCTGGCCTATCGATGTCGAAGAAGAAAGGATCTCCGTGTACTTCTGCGGCGGGCTTTTCTCTGAAGAAAAGGATGCTGGTGATGGGCCAGGCCTCATTAAACAAAAGCCCATCTGGGGCTGCAATTGAAGGCTCACCCTCTTTGGGCCGGGCCTTTCATCCCAACAAAGCATCAATAAAAAAGACTAAAAAAATCAGAATTTTGCAGCAAAGGGGGGAAACAATAAACCTCCGAAGATCCCAAGATGAATACAATTGCATGGAATTGTCAAGGGGCGGGAGCGCCCTTGACCAAGGAGCACTTACATGAGTTGTTTCACTGTTTTTTACCTAAATTTTTATTTCTGTCGGAGACTAAAAAAAATTGGAATTTTATGCAAGATGTGCAAGTTTCTTTTGGATATGACCATGTTTGTACCGTAGACCCGGTGGGGCGAAGCGGAGGTCTAGCACTTTTTTATATGGATGATCCCTCGGTTTGTATTTTATATGCAGACGAGCATATGATCGATATTGAAACTAGACTTGAAGGACATGCAATTTTTATGACCTTTGTGTATGGAGAACCTGATATCAGATATCGAGAATTGGTTTGGGAACGACTGTCATGTATGAGTACAACTCGTACTGGCGCGTGGTTTATGATTGGAGATTTCAATGAGCTCACAGGCAATCATGAGAAGAGGGGAGGAAGACGTCGCTCAGAGAGTTCTTTCCTCCCTTTCTGAATCATGTTAGAAAACTGTGCAATGCTTGACTTTCCATATAAAGGAAACTCGTTTTCATGGGTGGAAAAAAGGAAAAATGGGAAAGTTAAATGCAAACTTGATAGAGCAGTGGCAAATGAAGAATGACACGACCTATTTAACCATAGTATTGTGGAATATTTACAGCTACGGGGGTCGGACCATAGACCAGTCCTTACAAGGATTCAATCATCCTCCTGATGTACCAAGAAAAAGAGTTTTAGATTTGACAAGAGGTGGATAGGTAAACCTGGGTTTAAGGAAGCAGTAATTTCGGGATGGGGACAATTTGATGACGCTCCCGTTTAGAATTTTCATCAAAAAATTACCTCATGTCGGAACAATATCAGTACTTGGAAAAGAAATAATTCAACAAACTCAGCGGTCATGATTGAAGATTTAAAAAACATAATTAATTTGGCCCAAGATGATGAAAATTCCACAACTGAGGAACTAGAAGACTTGAGGCGACAGTTGATAATGGCGTTTAAAGAAGAGAACACTTTCTGGGAACAATGACATAAATATGGAGACAGAAAACACATAATTTCACCATGCCACTACAAAACAACACCGAGCACAAAATCAAATCATAAGTATTAAAGACAAACATGGGAGGTTGGTAGAGAGTGAAATCGAGGTGGAGACTGTTGCTGTTCAATAGTTTTGAGATCTCTTCTCTACCTCCTCCCCGACAGAAGTTGACACTTCCTTTCGGTTTATTACATAAAAAGTTTCCCAGGCCGACAATAGGTTACTCTTAGAGGTACCGTCGGAATAGGAGATTCAGAGAGCCCATTTTGATATTAACCCGGATAAAGCACCATGACCGGATGGCATGACTAGTAACTTTTCCAAAAATTTTGGAGTGAGATGCGGCAAGATATCACTAGACTGGTACAAGATTTTTTTGAGACGGGCAGCTTTGACCCACTTTTGAACCAGACAAATATATGTTTTATCCCTAAAAAGAAGAAACCCCGGGAGATGTCAGAATTTAGACCTATTAGTCTCTGCAATGTTAGCTATAAGATTATATCTAAGCTACTATGTAAGAGACTTAAGAGGCTAATCCCATGACTGATTTCGGAGACACAATCAGCTTTTGTGGCTAAACAATTGATCACTGACAACATCCTGATAGCACAAGAGAACTTTCACGCGCTAAGGACGAACCAAAGATGTAGGGAAGACTTTATGACCATCAAGACCGATATGAGTAAAGCCTACGATAGAGTGGAATAGAGTTTTTTTGGCTACTCTTATGTTAAAGATGGGCTTTGCTGAAAGACTGGTTGACCTCATTATGTGTTGTGTCACGTCGGCCTCATATCAAGTTCTAGTCAATGGACAACCGAGAGGACGGATCTTACCGAGGAGGGGCCTGCGACAAGGAGACCCTTTGTCCCCCTTCTTGTTTATCCTGTGTACAGAAGCTTTGATCTCGTTGTTGAATGGAGCGGAAGCAGAGATGAAGATTGTAGGTCTTCGGGTGGCACATGCGAGCCCAAGGACCTCCCATCTATTATTTGCGGATGATAGTCTCTTTTTCTGCAAGGCGGAAGTAAGCCAATGCAAGGAGATCATAGACATTATAGATATTTATGGGAAAGCATCGGGACAAAGATTAAATGCGGCAAAATCATTAATGTTTTTCGGGAACCGTGTAAACTACCTTTGGGAACAAGAGATAGAAGAAGTCCTGGGTTTTTCGGCAGAAGGAGGCATGGGGATGTACCTTAGATTACCTGAAAAAATTTGTGGTTCGAAAACCAAAGTATTTTCCTATGTACAAGACCGGCTGAATGGATGTGTGAATAATTGGTCTTCGAGACTACTGTCCAAAGGGGGAAAAGAGGTTCAGATTAAAGCGGTGGCCCAAGCAATTCCGACATATCCAATGTCATGTTATTTGATTCCTCAAGGCATCACTGATAAACTATGAAGCACGAATTCAAATTTTTGGTGGAGCTGAAAACAGAACAGCAGAGGTTTGCATTGGATATCATGGGACGAAATCTGTACCCCTAAGGATCTAGGGGGACTAGGATTTCGTGATCTCCATGATTTCAACTTAGCACTTCTTGCAAAACAATTATGGCGGTTGATACACTACCCAAACTCACTATTGGCACGTATCCTAAAGGGGATGTACTATTATAACACCTCTCCTTTAGAAGACTGATGCACATACTCACCTTCATATGGCTGGCGTAGTATTATGGCAGCAAAACCTTTACTCCTTTCGGGACTACGAAAGAGGATTGGTATGGGTCGGGATACGAGGGTATGGAGTGAGCACTGGATTCCTGACTTAGTGGCCCGACCACCCAGGCCTGCGGATCATATTGTCTACAGGCTCCCCAGCCTCCCGGTTCAAGCCCTTATTAGGAATGATACCAACGAGTAGGATATACAACTTTTAAGAGAATATTTCCAGGCAGACAATATACCCCTGATACTTGGGTTAAAACCCTCATGTTCGTCTGCTCCGGATGGATATGTTTGGGACCACACGAAGACATGAGTATACTTAGTAAAAACCGGCTATGACCTACTTCAATCGAACAAAATAAGGCCTACACTGGAATTGGTTCTCCAATCGAGCATTACAGGCCTCCAGAGCCATGTGTGGAGGATAGAGGCCCCAAGCAAGATGAAGCATTTTATGTGGCAAGCTATCTTAGGCTGTGTGGCGACAGTAGAAATGCTCACCTACAGACATCTGGGCACCGATAGGAGGTGTCCTAGATGTGCTGGCTCAGTGGAGTCAATGAACCACCTTCTCTTTGAGTGCCCCCTGCTCTGCAGGTTTGGGCTTTATCGGACTATCCGTCCATTTCGGGTGTCTTCCCGAGTACATCTATATATCAAAATATAAACTTCCTTTTTTGGAAGAGAAAAGAGGTGGCTCCACGGAGTCCACAATTCGACACCTTCCCATGGATTTGTTGGTACATCTGGAAGACGAGGAACGACAAACTCTTTAATGGGAGAGTCGTATCCCCGATGGATACTCTCCAACATGCGTCTCTTGAGGCAAAATGTTGGAGAAAAGCAAACATGAGAGAGGAAGTCGACGAGGCCTTTGAGGCACCTCCCTCCTTGGAGGCTGCGACAGAACCCCCTAGGGACCCCCGAACCTCGACCTGCTAAATTGATGCATCATGGATCGATCATGGCAGTGTCAGTGGCTTAGGGTGGAGCTTTCAGGATCAAATGGGCCATAAGTGGGTCGGACAACGCGTGTGCAGTAGAAGCCGTTCAGCTCTGCATGTAGAGATGGAAGGTTTACTCTGGGTAGTCTCATGCTTGTGGGACTTGCGGACCAACTCGGTGAGGATTGAGACGGACCGCACGGACCTAGTAGACATGTCTACTAACTCGGAAGAATGGCCAACCTTCTTAACAGAGATAGAGAGGCTTAAGAGATTACATGAGGACTTTGAAAATATGAGGCTTTCTCATATTCCTCGAAGTAGGAATGGTCGAGCGGATGGATTAGCTAAAGAGGCGAGAAGAAAATGATCTACTTTTTCCCAGATAGATCAGACCAGACCAGACGGAGATACTCTTAGGGAAATCGACTTGTCTGATCACCACTTGATCTAGCTTAGATGGGCGGCTGACAAAAAAACAAAAACTGTAAACCTAGTATGGGGCATCTCAAAGTATAACGATATCTAACTAAACAAGAATATATAATCTACATGAAAAGAAATTAGATTTCAAAATGATCAATGGTTTTTTTATAAGTTATCTTGTGAAATCTAAATGATATAAGTTATATTTGTCCAAACCATTCTACGTAATAATAAAAATCAGTAATGTCAGATTTAATAAAGACCATGTTTAACGGCGACCTTTAATGGGATCCTTAACTTTTTTTTTTGTCAACCTATGTCATTCATTTTAAAGCCCGAAGGCAATTACAAGTGGATATGGGTTCTAAAATTACAAATGAGGCTTCATATTACAAAAGTCCAAAGGAAAACACGATTTGGCTATCCCATGGCTATCTCATCGCAATTATGTGAAGCCACGCGTCACGTCCTCAAAGCTCTGTGTTGCGCCCACGCGTCGTTCATGCAGAAAAGCTTCCACCGCTTCGCAGACTCCACCGCCAGATGCATCTCCACCGTGAGCTTCGCCGGAACCGTTGCTTCTCGTTTTTCCTCCTTTAGCAGTTGAAGACAGAGAACGTCATCGTCCTACAGGCTTCAATCTCTCATAGATCCACTTATAAAACTCCCTCCTCATAACCACCGTTGAATCTTCAAACCTTTCTTCTAAATCGCCAGAGATAAAAGCCACCGGAACTTCAAAAAGACATACACCCGATCCTTTTTGAAACACTTTCCCTTATGGAAAGCTTCAATCTGCTGAATCTGTGCATAATCTTCGAAGTTAAATCGATAAAACTCAATTTCCTATCCACTAAAGATACTTTGCTAATATATCGAAAGAAAAGATTGACTCCTTTTTTTGAAATAGGATTTTGAGGATGACTAACGATGTAGAGAAAAGCTACAGGTTCAAACGGAATATCCAAATTCTTGGACATAGCATAAGAACAGAGGAGAAGAGGACTTAGAACTGAAACTTTATTTAGTTCACCCAGATCATATGAAGATAAGCGTGAAGAACATATACGTCTGGGTTGAAAACACAACAAAAATCCGCTTCCGGATATAACAAAATCGCCTTAGCGAAGAGTGAAATCGCCTTGCGAAAAAACAAAATCGATCCTAAGATCGAAATATTTACATTAAAAGATGAAGCTTCTCATCTCTTCTTCCCCAGTGAGAGATACAGAGAGTGGGAACGGTGAGAAGAGAGAGAGAAGATCCTTTATACAAACCAGATCTTTAATGGGATCCTTAACTTAATTGGATGATTTAATTAAATAAAAAACAAATGAAAATAGAATAACCGATCTTTTTTTTTTGTTTTTTTTTTGAAACACAGAATAACCGATCTTTAATGGGGTATTTTGGTTACCAATTTTAAGTGTGGTTTTTAAACCACGTGTCAGCACCACCATTTTCTATTTTTTTTTTCTTTTATTTCTTTTTTTCACTGTTTCTCTTCTTGTTTTGTCCGACAGAGGAGAAAGATGGCGACGCTATCTCTTCTCCATTCTCACTTACCGATATTACTTTCTTTTTTTCCATTGATTGCAATCTTAAAGGTCGCGTCTTTGTGTTGTTCTCTTTGATACCCTAGTCATCAATCAGAAGAACCAAGCTCCAGATTCCTTCAAACGTGCTTGTGTTTAGACGGGGACACAAGAATCTAAACTGGGTTCAACTCCAAACCAACCAGAGATTCGTCCGCAAATCGCTTGGTGATGATTCCTCAACTCCAGCTGAAGAAACTTAGAACACTCAAAATGATAATAATAATAATAATAATGAGGAAGATGATGTGGCCACGACTCCCAGTAACATTTCTCGCGATTCAGAAACTTTGAATTCGAGATTCCAGAGCATGATTACCACCATTGCCAATGATTCCGAGAATTCAATCTCAAGATTTCGGAGTATGATTACCACACTCCCCCATGCCGTCTTCTTGGTATGATTCTCTCTTGATACTGCCTAAAGTTTCAATCTTTATAGATAGGTGATAAGTCTTTGAAGCTTTGTTTTGTATCTTGGCTCTCTAGATGAAAAAGTCCTCAGGGAAGAGCGTTTGGATTGGTATCAGCATCGTAGCTACAGCTCTGCTCGCTTCTATACGAGCTTATGCAATTAGAAAGTCTAGAGATAACCGACCTTCTGGCTCTGTTTCTGATCTTGTTAGACGTGGTAAGCTGAGATCTGGTGATAGAAGAGGCATGTATTAAACTCACACCCACACTCTCCTTTCATCATGTTTATAACTTTTTCGAAGTAGTTTTGCTTTTGGTCTAATTTGTCATGGTGTTTTATCAGCTCAAAGGATACTCTTTCTTTATTCCTTCTAATCACTTTTAAAGTTTTCCTTCTCCATTGATTGCTAGAAGCCTGTTGATGACAAGATCATGGAGATTGCTTCCCTCGAGAAGTTCCTTCAGGAGAGGATCAAATTCGGTGGTAAAGCTGGTGCACTTGGTGATTCTGTCACAATCACTCGTGAGAAGAGTCACTTCTGATGGCCAGTTCTCCAAGAGGTACATACACTCCCAACATACTCTTATAGGTTTTGATCTGGAGATGATATAAGCTAATAGATATTGAATGTAGAATCCAAATAACTTATTGCAAAAAATTTTGATTGTCTTTTGCGTTCAAGCAATGTTAATTTTGAAATCTTTTGTTTACTACTTGTGTGTTTGCAGGTATGTGAAGTACTTGACAAAGAAGTACTTGAAAAATCACAACGTGAGGGATTGGCTGAGAGTGATTGCGGCCAACAAGGACGGTAACCTCTATGAGTTGAGGTACTTCAGCATTGCTGAGAACGAGGGTGAGGTAGAAGACTAGAAGACCAATTCTTTTGTTTCCAGGTTTTGTTATTTTGGTTTGTGCTCTTTGCTGTTCTATACAATTTATCTTCTTGTTCTGTTTTTTTGATAGATTTTATTTATTTTTGGTTGAAGTTAACTCTTTGTTCGTTTAAGAAGAATATTTTGTCAAAGATCATATGCTTTTAAAGAATCTGTTATTGAGAAGATTATTTTGTTAATTTTTCTTTTTTAAGAATCCCTAATTAAGAAACTCCCATTGGACCATTCAAAATGAGAGTTTCTTAACTAGAATTCTTAAGCCCACTTAAATATATTTAAAGTATTAAAAAATCATTAAGGATCCCACTTAAGGATCAAGGGATAATCTTGCTCTTGAATTTCAACTTTAGTAGGAGTAATATAGAATGGTCATTCAAGAAGTTAAGGTAAATAACATGTCACTCTAAATTATGAATAAAGATACTCCATGATGCAAATGTTGCCAGTAATGATTAAGTACATGAAGTTAAAGAGGAACAAGCATTGAGAAGATCTACTCGTATGAGTAGATTTTGCTATTTTAAATAACTACTCTGTCAAGTAAAATCTGAAGAATTAAGTTTTAGAGATCTGGTTTCTTATTCAGAGCCATAAAAGATGTTAATTCTGATAAATGAGTCGGCTATGAAAGATGATGTAAACTCGATGATTGAAAACAAAGTATGGAACGTCATTAATTATCTTAAGAATATACTATTCGAGTGTAAGTGGATCTATAAGACCAAAACTCGAGTATAATGGAAATATTGAACGACATAAAGCCGATTTGTAGCCAAAGATTTTAATCAAAAAGGCAACGATTTGACTGAGTCTTTTTCTAATGTGTCTGTAAAAGAATCGATATGAATTATCATGGCTTTGGTAGCTCAGTACGCTTTTGAATTCCATAATGGATAAAATAATTGCCTTTCTTAATAGTGACTTACCAAATATGTATGTGTCAATCTGAAGCTTTCATAATCGAAGTGAAAGGAAGATATGGTCTACAAACTAAAGAAACCAAATCATGAACTGAAGCAAACCTTGAGAATGATATTTAAGTTTAATGAAACCATTAAGGAATTTGGTTTTACGAAAACTTAAAGTCATGTATATAACTCAAGTTTAGTGGGACTAAGTTCATAATTTTGGTGTTGTATGTTAATGATGTATTATAGGGCAATAGTCACCTTGGTCCATTACATGAGACTAAGAGATATCTTTTTAAGAAATTTAAATATTAATGAAGAAACCTATGTGATGGGAATAACAATTTCTATTATAGATCACTTGATATGTTAGGGTTGTCTCAGAAAGTATTTATATTTATAAAGTTAATTATAGATTTGTTATTATGAAGTATTCTTCTAATAGTAATCTTATGCATAAAGGAATACACAATATCCTGATAATGAAAAAGGAACTTAAAGAAATAGAAAGTCGAAAACAAAATTTTGAGATACCTAAAAAACACAAGAATCACTTGTTCACATATAAGAATTCAACAAAACAACAGGTGGTTGAATTTTCAAACTCAGATTTCAATGAACATAAAAGTTTTAAGCATAACAATTTTAGCAATGTGTATCTCATCAAATGCGATGACTTATTATGGAAAATTTTATAGTTCTAATTGTTTTAAATGTCCAATGAGGAGGCTGAGCAGGGGCAATATTATGAGACTTCTATAAAGTTATCTATGACTGCAAATTTTCTTTTGAGTTTGAAACAGTAAGTGTTCAAATCTTTATATGAAAATGAAACATGCAATCATATTTATATGTATGAGATGATATATAAAGGATCCAAGTATATGGACATTAAGATTGATATATGTCATCAAAGTAATATTTCAAAAGAGAAAAGTTTGTCATTTTGCATATATGCACTAAATTTATGGTCACAAACATTTTTACCAAGCGTTACATCCAAAGAATCTAAAATATATCTAGAAATTATTGGTCTAATGGATAGCTATTAAAGTTATTTGATTTTGTTTAGCATTTATTTGATAATATATATGAGCTCTTAATGATTTTTGAGTCTTTTACATTAAGTTTCCAATGTGCACACCAATTATTTGTGGTTGACCTATTATAATGGAATGATTCTTTAAACAAGATATAAAATGAATCATTATGATAACTCCTACTTATCGTCTAACTATGATAGTAAGAAATGTAGTAGTGCTTGGAAGGAGTCATGTTGTAAAATAATATGTCTCCACCGTGACTTTCATTGTTTGCTAGATTAGCTAAGATAATTATGATGGCCAAATAAAAGCAATGGTTTAATAAATAATGTCAACCTTGTGATGTTTAATAAGAAATTTAAATGGGTCATACCAACAACTAAGTGGGAGAATGTAAAAAATATTATGTATATGAATTAATATTTCTTGCCCATAATGTGGTCTTATGTTAATATATTTCTTATTGAGATTGTTAACTCTAAAGAATTTGGTAGCCAATAAAATGGTATTTAAAAGAGTTTAGCTTCTAATGATTATAAATAACTAATGTACAAGTGATTTATTAAGGTTTCTTATTTGAGACTCATGAAACATGTGTTATTGTAAAAAAATCATTTTGAAGTAAATTCAGTGCATCAAAGGAAAAAAATGTACTGTATGAAAGAATGATTCTAGAAGTCTACACACTTGTCATTATTTAACTCTAATGGATGGTTGAGATTAAAAAAGAAATTTGTTAATGAAGTCATCAAACCTTAGTGAGAAATTTTTTGGTCCCTTTTCCCACTTATAAATAGTTGTATTTGGGCCATCAGAAAATAACATGAAAAAAACTTAAAGAAACACATAAAAAATGGTTGTAGGTAAGAGGAGAGAAGATCTAACTCCAATTTAAAGATCAAGAGATCATCTTCCATAATCAAACTATTCAAAAAGATTTCCGCAATGATGAAGTGAGGTATTCCGCCAATTCTTCTAATAACTCTATATATGATTAGTTTAGATGTTAAAGATCTTGGGTTCATGTAAAATTAAGTTTCATGTAAAATTAAGTTTAAGAAGTTGTAAAGATATATAACATAAACATGTACATGCTACCGTAAATAAATAAATTAAATAAAACGTAATATGAATGTGCATGTATGTTTTTTTCTGTTTTCTTGTAGAAATATATTTATCTGCGTATACAAGTACGTTAAAAGAAAGCATCTGGATTAAAAAAACTTCAAAATATTATCAACAACTTCACACTAAATTCTTAAGCAAAAAGAAACTTCATACTAAATTTACCTAATTAAATTTAATTATTTATATAAAAAGGAGAACTGCACAACATAGACTAAAATGTTTTTATTTATTTCTCAAAAAAATGAGAATCGGTTTTTATTACTTAAATTAATGCTGAAATATTCATTGAAACTTTCTATGAAAATTTTATTCATAATATTTGTACTTACAAAGTGTATATTTGTTCTTAGATATCAGAGATATGAGTAAGCTATATAAACTATTTTGTGTAAACTAAGACGTAATGTTAAATATGGATTGCATATAAAACTTTTGTTTCAATCATACACATATATGTAAGTGGGATCATGCAACATCCATTTAAACATATGAATGAAAATGTACATTATGCTGAACTGCTATTAAAATTCAGGACTACATAACATTATAAACGTTACCAAAATTTTATATGAAGACTACAAAACAAAGAGAATTAACTTTAAATCATTGATCAGATAATTCATATTTTGAATGTTGAAACTAAATAAAGTATGAAGTATTTTGGAAAAAAAAGAAGAATGAATAGATAGTTAGGTGAAGAGTTGTGATTCTTTTGCCCTTTCATTCACATTCCCAACTTCTGAAATTTGATAATCAGGAGCTGATTGAAGTGCATAAACTCCGATATTAAAGCTTGTATCGTCAACACAAATGATCTTTAGACAAAAACCACAATAGATGCTTTGCTGCAATTCTGAAGGTGAGGAAAAGTGTGAGATGTATATGAGTTGTAAAGCCGTGTTGAAAAATCTATATTCTTTTTTGTCGACAAAAAAGCATGATTATTGAAAAAACCTGATTTAAACTACCAAAATTAAAAATTAACAAAAGTCAACAAAAAATTAAACCGAAAAAATTGTAGAAAATATAAGCTTTTGAATCAGGGTTATTGATTAGAATGATCAAATACATATACTAGGTGTTTTTTTTCACACGTGCAAGCATACTAATTTTACAAATATTTATACAATCAATTTAAATACCACTAAAATAAATTGTTATTCATACATTCAAAATATTTACATGATATTATATATAATATATACATGGATTTATCTTCTTTTTAATTTCTTAAAATATTTATGATATAAAATAAGTTTTGGATAGCACAATATACTATTTTAACATAGTGATAATAATCAAAAACAACAAAATTCGTTTTTAAATTATAGTTAATTATATATTAATAAATATACTTATTAATTAAAGTTAATAAAAATTATAACTAGATAATGATAATTATCAAATTATTTTTTGTTTTTAACTTATGCTTAATCATATATTAACAAATTTAAATATTCATTAAGGGTATTAAAAACTTTAGCCGCTCTAACTTTTAACGTAAGAGCTTCGTTGCAGAAAATCATTTCGCAAATAATAATATAGATAGATAGATAGATAGATAGATAGATGATGCTTAAACAATCAATCATTGATAATTCATAGGTATAGGATTACTAATTTAAACTAAACCAATTCCATTTACATGATAATACCTCATATGCTAATTCAATTCTTAACATTATTTTTATTGATTAATTGCCATCAAACATTCATGAATCACAAGTACTAAGACCATCTCCTGATTTAAAGCATAAGAGGAAATGGATCATTCAAACCCAAAGCCTAACTCTTCAAAGCCCTAAAATATTTATGGATCATACACCCTATGAAAACAGGTGGTGGAGGAGTTCTGAGGTTATTGAAGTTTTATTTCTTGTTTTTCAATAAGCTCTATG